TGTAAGATATAAACTTAGAAACTTACTAAATTCATCTATGAATTCTAATTTCTTATATTTTCTTATAGCTGAAGGTGTTTCCAGTAAAAACAAAAGAGGTCAAACGCAAATGCATAATGTACATGCACGAAAAGAGCGTAAACTGATCTTATTGAATAAGCTAAATCAACCGGTTGGTCCTACTGAAGACGTTGTGACAGAGTTAAGTAGCTTCCTAGGTACATTGGCAAGAAATGCTACTCTCTACCCATTTGATATATTTGATTGGAGGAGCATGGATACTAAAAAGGATTTATGGGATTATACTAAGGTTTGGAGTTTCCAGTTTTTAACTTCGATCTTGTAAAAATATTTTACTTCAATTGGCGAACTAAATGACACCAAATTGTAGGAGAAATACATTATTCCTGAAGCTGCAAAAGATTGGGCTTTGGTAACAATTCGAGAGGCTTGGAGAAGGCATAGACGTGACTTAAAGATAAATTATTACGATCCATATGACAATGATGAAATTCAAATGGCAAAAAAGCCTGGTCATATTCCAGAATGTCAGTATAGAGAGCTCCTTAAATATTGGAAGTCTGAGAAATTCAAGGTAAAATGTAGTTCAGAATCTCAAACATCCAGCTTATTCTTCTCCTGATCTCTTTTGTGATATAGTTGCTGCTGAAACTTTATTTTTCTTTAACTTTTCTTCTGCTATTCTCTTCTCTGTTGCAATGTTGTTGCAATTTGTTACTTCTTTCAGTGTGGTAGTCACAAATGTAACAGGATAAATTTTTTGACTATGATTGGATTAATTAGTTGTTATTTTTCTGCCCTTTCTTATAGGGAATAGCAAACACTTCAATAAAAAGAGTGGTTATCAGTAATTTTTTCATCTCTTATCTTGTTCCTATGATCCTAGCTATAGCTCACAATTGTCAAATTTGCATAGGATGTCTTCCTTTTCATTATTAAATTATGATTTGATACTGGTGTATGAAAAAGGTAATAGTATCGTCATCAGTAAGAAGATAGTTGGTGACTATTGTGTTCTGACTTGAAGAAGATAAATGATTGACCAAAAGGTGGTTGTAACTGTTATTATCTATGTTTATCACATTTCCTTTGACTAAAAGATATGCTAGTAAGTAAGAAATAAATAATCAGTGAATGAAGACAATCAAAGGATAATCAAACCAATATAACATGCAACTGCATTTTCATTGAGGGTGCAAGGCTTCCAAGAAAGTGAATCATCCTAATTTCTTTCCTGAAGGGGAATCAACTTTCTCTTCTGCTATTCTTTTTTTTAGAAGGTTAACTGAACTCTTCTGTTATTCTGTTATCTGTTTCATAAAGTTTTATTATCCTCAACATGTCAAACTCAATAATTTCATTTAGTAGTTGATAAGATACAAATGTAACAGGATAAAAAGTCACGTGTTCAACTCTTTACTCAAAAATAAAAAATCTTAAGAACTTATTTTATTAGTTAAGTTTGATCGCTGAAATTTGCATCAAGGTTCACTAAACTAAGTGCCCTTTTGGATAAACTTAGTTTGATCGTTGAAATCTACAGACTGGTTTTAGCTTCATATGACAGTAACGTTCGTACTTACAAAGCATATTCTTTAGTTGGATTTGTTAAAAAAGAATATTGAGACATTCACCTCGTCTAGTAATTTATGTAGCACCGATATGCCTTTGGTTAACATTATTGATTCATTTATTTGCAGAAAATGTCTGAAACAAATACTAAGAACCGGAAAAAGCTGATGAATCCACACACAGCAGGCAA